ATCTCTCTCTCTCTTTCTACTCTCTGTCTATTTTCTCTCTCTCGCTACTCCTCTAACTCTTGTTCTCTCCAACACTCTCTCCCTTTCTCTCTCTCTCTCTCTCTACTTTCTGTCTCTCATTCTGTCCAACTTTCTCTCCCGCCTTCTACTCACTCTCTTTCTCTTTGTCTGTCCTTGTCTCTCTATTTTTCTTTCTCCCTTGCTCTACCTCCACACACCCTTATACTCTTGGTCTCTCTCTCCCCTTCTCCCTTTCTTTCAACTTCTGTCTGTTCCTGTTATTTTCTTCTCTTTTTTTCTTTCTGGCCTTCTGACTCTTTTCTTTCTTTCTTTCTTGCTCTGTCTCTCACTTTGCCTCTCTCATTTTCTCTTTTTCTCTCTCACATTTCCTTTTTTCTCACTTTATCTGTCGTATCTTCTCTCAGTTGCATTCTCTCATTTATTCTCCCTTTCTTTCTTTTTCTCTCTGTTCTGCCAAGATTCTCATTCATCTTCTCATTCCCTATCTGTTTTTTCTTACGCTCTCCTATCATTCTTTATTTTATGTCTCTCTCTCTTTCCACTCTATGTCTGTATGTCACTTTCTCTCAACTCCTCAAACTGTCCCTGTTGCTTTCTCTCTCACTCTTTTTTCTCACTCCACTTTCTCTCTCTCTCTCTCTCTCTCTCTCTCTCTCTCTCTCTCTCTCTCTCTCTCTCAGATGACCTCTCTCGGCTCTCCTGCACCTCCAGATCTCTGTTAGTGTCTGTGTATTAGTGGTGTGTGTGACAGTATGTACGCATGTTGTGTGTGAGGGGGTGTGTGTGTTTGTGTGTGTGTGTGTGTGTGTGTGTGTGTGTGTGTCCTCTGCTCTCTTCAGGGCGAGGTGTTCACCACGAGTGTTGATGAGTTGATGAATGTTCCTCATCATCTTCAGCCTGACCCCAACACACACACACACGCACCACCAGAAACCCGGTCCGAAAAAAAAAAGAAGGAAAGAAACCCCAAAAACATCGTCTTCCGTCTTGACGAACTCTGTGCCGTGCTACGATGTTTCGATGAGTCATTTTTTGTTTTCGGTTATGTCCGTTTCTGTCACTTTTCTCGGGTGTGTACTGTTTTTCTTTCTTTTCTTTTCCAAAATCCATAAAGGAGAGGAAAAAAACGTAAAGAAATTCAATGGAAGGGGAGAAAATAAAACTGAATTTTGTTTTTAACAGAACCTGTCGCTCGTGTCTTTGTTTTTTTCTTAGCTCTCTTCTGTGGCAGTTACTCGCAGGGACAGGAAGAGCTACAGCTTGGGTAAGAGACGAGTTGCCTCAGAAATGATCTGACGGTTGCTGCGCTTTTCCTTTGAAGGACGAATAACGCAACGTCTTTGAGCGGCACGTATACAGACTGTGCTCTCAGGTACTTTGCTGCTGAAGAGGCTGTGAGCTCTCCTGACACGTAGCCAATGGCCTTCAAAACCACAAACAGTGATGCAATGACCAAACCCGACTTCAGACTTAGAATCAGCTCGGAAGCTGATTATGATGCAGCCTGTGTTATTTCTTTCGCTTCTTAAAATGGGAAGTTGGGCTCTTAGAAGCAGCACCAGTGAAACCGCTAGACTTGTTGCATGACATTTATGACCTTTAACTGGGCCTGTTTTTGCTTGCATCGAGTTTAGAGAACTAATATCACTTATATTTAATAGTGTCTTCAGATTTGTTGTATTTAAACTCTGCAAGTAATGTAGTAATACTCTTATGTCATTAAGATCTTTATTAATACATGGATTTGATCTACTCGTCAAACTTGAGTCCATGCTAGCTCATATACTAATACAAATACAAGGAAATTCTGAAATTTATGTTAAAATTTCAATGAATTTCCACTTTTCACGCAAATTGTTATGCTGATAATACATTTGGAATGAAACTCTTTATATTAAATGAGAATGCAAAATAAAACAATTTTCAGTTGGGGTCTTGGACTTTTGGACCCCACTCTATATGTTAACGTGTTACAAGCTTCAAATCAAACATAAGGAATGTCTTTTTCAAGGGTTTAAACATCCGAGTTTAATCTTGAATGCTACTGTACACCAGTGTGTCAACTGAGTGCTTACATACCATTGGAAATCCCAGATAGATGCTAACAGAAATCAACATCATAGGGTTTTTTTTCCTTCCAAGTTTTTGAAATGTATGGCCTAAACTGAACACCCAGCTCTAATAAGCATGGTTTGCCATCCTGTGGAGGTTCTTTAAACTTTCTTTAAAGATTCTTCACACTTGGGTACAAAGTTGGGACCACCCAATAAGAGCTTCTTGAATTGCATTGCACCAAAAAAATTGGCACCTTTATTTTTATATTAAACTTCCCCAAAGAACCTTTTAGTTGATGGTTATGTAACCCCCTAAGGTGCAAGGATATGTGGGTATATGTATGTGGGCTTTTACTGCATACATATTAGCTTCATAGAAACTAACAAAATAATATTATATCAAGATAAAAAAAAAAGCCTGCAGTTTAAAAAGTTAAGCAAACACATCTTGTAAATGAGATGTGCAAGTGTGAAGAATCTTTCTAAAGTCTGAGGAACCACCAGATAATGTAAAGGGTTTTCCTAGAAACACAAATCCAGAACTACACATCAAAGCCAAGAACTATTAAGGAACTTTATTTTAGTGTTGTTGTTCTGAAATTTGGGATTGACTTTAATATTTGTTCATATTCACCAGAAACACTTGGCCTAATTAAAGCTTTTGTTTTTAGCAGAGCTGCTTTGGGATTTTTATCTAAGCACAGTTCCCAGGCCTTCTTTCACATTGCTGACACATACATTTCCTGTGGTTTATCTTTCTAGACCAAAGGTTTTTGTTGTCTGAACCCATTGTTATGAAGCAATTGTTATGGGTGCTCAAAAGAACCCAGTCTAGCCATGAATATGAGGAAGCTAGAATCTATAGAATATTCAGGCTAACAAGTGAAAACAATTTCATGTTAACTTTAGAGGGTAAAAATGTAAGCAAAGTTATTCAGAGCTACTTGTGAAATGTTGCAAAATGCAAGTCAGAATTGTTCACAGTGGCGGTAATAGGAACCAGACGTCTGAAGAGTTTAACGCCTTTAAAGCTCACTCACAGAAAGGTATTACATGAATAAATGATATTTTTGAGTAGTTTTTGCTTTGGCTTGGTTTTTAAGGGGTGCTATAAGGTAAAATAATTCCTAGATAAAACGTATTTTATCAGATTTACCACCGTCTTGCTCTCATCAACATTACATATAACATGTAGGTTCACTGATGGTTTTGAATAACAAATAAAATGACTACATTTGTGTTGTAGACATAGCGACCCCTGGTTTCTATCACCACCACTGTAAAGGAATCTGAGTCTCTACATACAACCATTTCACACCAAACCACTCTGAATGACTTCATGAATTGAAATATGTGGGAAAATAACCAATTGTCACATTGTTAGCGTGAAAAAATGTAACATTCACTCTCCAGTCCACATACAAAGACTAAGCTCACTGTTTTGTCATAACGTTTCTGTGATGTCACATTTACATCTATCCTATCCACCAATGCAGCCAACAGCAGTTTAGGTAGAAAACTGAATTTTGACATTTTCTTATGACACCAATCTCAATATATATTAATGCTAGTGATATAATTATATGCTATAAAGTAAAAGCAAAAGGTTAAAAAAAAGGACTCTGAGAATTTCCCCACATGTAATCAGGGGTGCCATAAGTTAGAGGAAGGCTGATTTCAAGGTTTTTTGTTTGTCTGATTTTTATTTTTACTGAAAGATATATGATAGGAACACTTATTCAGTAAGCAGTAATTAAAGACATATGTTAGATATAGTGTTAACAGCAATGTGTCTTAATATTTAATATTTAAGGAAAATATTTTGTTTGTGTAGGTGAACTTCGCTCTTAAGAGTATGCTATTCTTAGCGGTGTACCACAAGGCTCCATATTAGGCCCAGTTTTATTTTCATTACACCGGTTACAATTAGGGCACATTATTGAAGAGCGTGAGCTGACAGCCTGTCTATCAAAATTTTTGTGATGCCAACAGCAGTTTAGCTCCACCCACTCACATTGAAGTTATAAGGAGTGGTACATTTAACTACACAAACATTATACATAGACCTAATCCATTAGTAACGTAGAGGTAAATGCATAGAACAATGTAGAGTATAGAAGAATAATGCAGGTTATGGACCAAGTTTAATGTATCTTAACAAACTGAAAGGTCTTTTTCCATTTCAGTTTGTCCATTCAGTACAAAATTAAAGGAGCAGGTGGTGTTTTGAAATGGCGTAAAAGAAAAAAGTTAAAACATCCACCCTTTGGCAACAAACCACATTTAACATACTGCACACATTTGGATTATGTCCGCAATTCATCCGATAGGTCGATAAAGCTCTGCCTCAAGACCTAAAACTTAAAAGGCCCAAGAGTAACAGTGATGTGTGTTTCAGAAGCAGCTTTGCATTACATGGTTGTAGCGCTCATCCCTGCTGCTGGGGATAATCACCTCCAGCCTTGGTTGAATGAGCTCTGAGTAAAGCAGTCTGGCTTGTTTCTAATGAGGCGCTCTTTAAATGAATAAAGTGCAGTCGCACACGGCCTTGCTCAGGATTCGCTTCATCCCACCAAATAACTCCTTTTACAAAAGAGAACCGCTGACATTTCACAGTCTCAAATCCGCAACGTTGCTTTCTGTTTACTTAAACCTAGAAACATCCGTTGATCGCATTTCGGAGAAGTCAGCCGGAGGTGCGACATTTTGCTTGGCGCAGCACTTGCGGTCTCCTGGGATATGTAGGCACGAGGCCTAGTGTTAGCCGCAGAGACGTCTGAACACTGTCTCGCTCATAGCCACGTGACCGGCGAAGCATCAAAACTTCAGATTTGTATTCAGAGCATGACCTATTAAAAAATCTCTCCTCCATCATAATGAGCATAAAAAGCCATCACCTAACCTATATTGCATCAGTGCTCCTCTACTTGTAGTATGTGTGGGGGCCTTGAGGAAGAAGTCCAGAATGTTAATGAAGATGGTGCCAGTGTTGGTGCTGCTGTGGAGGGTGGACAAAGCTGCAGGTCAGGTTTCAATACAATAGTGATGTAATAATGATACTACTGCTTTAGCATATCAGCACTGACCTAAAATAAGGTCATTTTACCTGTTAGTTAAAAAACTTTTCACTTTTCAAAACTTCTGTTGAACTATTTATCATGAAATGTAAAGAGCAGCTGTTTTTTTGTCCACATTTTAAATGGTAAAAAATGGAAAATGGTTTTCTTATGACACATCTCAATAAGTGTTAATGCTAGTGATATAATTAAACACTATAAAGTAAAAACAAAAAGGAAAAGATTAGATAAAAGGAATCTGAGAAGTTCCCCACATGTAATCAGGGGTACCGTAAGTGGGGGGAGGGATAAGGATGATTTCAAGGGCCCCAAAGGGACAAGATTCCTTTTTTTTTTTTTGTATGTGATTTGTATTCTTACTGAAAGATTCATAACAGCACTTTTCAATTTCAGTGAGCAATAATTAAAGACTCATTTTAGATATAATGCTAAAAGCAATGCATCTTATCTGAAAAGAAAATATTTTGTTAGTGTAGACAAACACCGCTCTTAGGAGTACGATATTCTTAGTGGTGTACCTCAGGGCTCCATATTAGGCCCGTTTTTAATTTTACCTGTTGCAACTAGGACACATTATTGAACAGGATAGAGTCAGTTTTTGTAGTTGCACATGACACAGTTGTATGTGTCTGTGGAGCATAATGATAGCATGCTTATCCAAAAATGGATGTCTGTCTGTCAAGCATTATTACATGGATGAACAAATTTTTTGAAAAACTAAATAAAGAAAAAAAATCTCATCATTGGAAATTAATCACAGAAAATAAAAGTTATGACTAACCTGGCAAATCTGGCATTACAAACAAAAGATAAACTAAGAAATATAGGTGTAATATTTAATTCAATATTATCTTTTAAACCACATTGAGCAATTATACAAACAGCCTTTTTTCTTTTAAGAAAAATAGCATGAGTAAAGCATTTCCTCACACTTCATGATGCTGAGAAACTGACACATTTTCACACCTTGAGGTCTGCAATGGACTGTTTATAGGATTACCAAAACCACAATAGACTAACTGACCACACCGTTTTCAGCTGCAGCTAGAGTACTAACACGTACAAGAAGGAGAGAAAATGTAACACCTATTTTAGTGTCACTGCACTGGCTGCCTGTTTCTTCTAGAATAGATTTTAAGATTGTTTTGTTGGTTTTTAAAGCTCTTAATGGACTGGCTTCTTCATACATTTTAGAATGCCTGGCAGAGTGCATTCCAATTCATGTTTCAAGATAATCGAGTGCCGGCCTGCTACAAACTCAAATCCAAAAAAGTTGGGACAGACTGCTGTACACATGAAATGCAAAGTAAAACAGAAAGAAGTGATCTACCTTCAGATGTATCTAAATTAAAACGGTATTAAGACATGATATTTCTCTTTTCTCTTGTCATCATTTTTTTTGTAAATCTATCACTGCTGTCGGAACAAAACCTTGTATGTCTATTTTTGTCATTTTTCAGTTTCTAACATAATTTGAAAATGTTCCCCTTTATATTACGTGTGAATTTCATGATAAATGGACCAAAAAAATGGCCCAAAATTATATCAAAAGAAGTCAGGTTTCATTGACTTATATTAAAAGTAAAGTAGCTTTTGTCCTTCTCCTGGCATTTTGGAGTTGGCATTTTGGAGATACAATGTTTTGTTCCGACAGCAGTGATATGCTTACTCTAAAATTGGTGCCTGCAGTACATTCTAGGCATGGAGATATCCCACATGGGTTCGGGAAGACTTTTCCAAACCATTGTCAATAAACAGTTTGTCAGTGCATCCACAAAGTTAAGACTGTGCTATACACAGTTTAAAACATATATAAATATGTCCAGAAACACTGCTGACTTCTCTGGGCTCTATGCACTAAAGTACAGTGGAAATGTGTATTGTGATCTGCAACCTTTCAGATTGTTTATGGAAATAATGAACATTGTGTTCTCTGGGCCAAAGAAAAAAAGCACCATCCAGATTATTACCAGCATTTAGTTCAAAAGCTGGGGTCTGCCGTGTTTAGTGGGTAACTTGAACATCTGCAAAAGCACCATTAATGCTAAAAGATATACACACACTCTTTTTCAGGGACTTTTAATGCTTATTTCAACATAACAACAGCAAGCCACATGTGTTGCATGTGCATGTGTTACAACAGCATGCTTACATAATTAGATAGGCTATGTGCTAGAACTGGCGTGCCATGTGGTGCATTATAAATTGCAAAATATGACAACAAAAAGTCTGAAACAGCTTTCTGACACTATGCACCAAAGCTCTGGAATACTTTGCCATTAGATATTTCTACCAATAGCACTTTTGAAAAGATACTAAAAACATATTTATTTAGATTGGCTATTTATTAGTATGATTTATTGCCTTTCTATTAATATTTTGGTTAAAATTGTTTCTTTTATTTTCTCTTTTTACTTGTTTTTATTTCTTTTACATTCTAATTTCTTAGCTGTGCTGCTTATGCTTGTTATTATTCTTACTGTTTTAACATTTTATTATTTTATGTAGTGAAGCACTTTAAGCTGCATTTTAGGTATGATAATAAAGATAATGAAAAGTTATTATTATTATTATTATTATTATTACTTTGTCACCTCTTCAGTTGGCACCAAGGTCATCCAGTTTTTCCGAAGTAAAGATGGGTTATGAAGATATTGTCACTGCCCCCCCCCACAAAAAAAGATGTAATAACTTTATAGGAAGAAGCAAAATGTGCTTACCTTTTAATGTAAGCTAATGCAAATGTGTTTTATTCCAAGTGATCATGAAATTTTAACACAATGGAAAAATAGCTGCTGAAGCTGTGAAATGGAAACGAGACAGAGCTAAAAACTAAAACACTTTCAATGTGTAACCTCTTACCTCCATTTTTGACATACATATATATATATATATATGTATGTCAAAATGGAGGTAAGAGGTTTTGTACAGACAGCAGCAACATGCCAAGGACCCTTTCTAGCATCCCCTATCTTTCAGCCTGAGTACAAATTACAACCAAAATATCTCCATTATTCCATGACAAAATATTTGTGGAGATTTTTGTGTGTTTGAAAAGTTGGTATGCAGTTATGTTGCTTATATTTGTATCAACAGTTTGCAGCATGCTGAGTAAGAGTTGGAATTATGGAGCTATAACAATGAGTTATGAAAAAATGTTAATATTGAGGCTCTGCAAGTGAAAATTAGGCCCCAAATTCCTACCAGCACCTCTACATGCAACTCATTCTAGTTGTCCTGCATTTCCAGCCTACAGTAATAATTCCTGAGACAAATCAATGATCATTAAAAACATTCTCATTTAAGCTCTAGACAGCCTTTGAAAAGCTCTTACCTTTCTAAAGACTATTTCATCAGTGTTGTAAGAAAACTTTTGAACCTTCATATTAGAAGTAAAGAGAATTCAGTTTCTGTTTACGTAAAAAATTACACTTTGAACACTTTGCCTTTTAAAATTGGTCCATTTACCATAAAATGTTCACTACAGTGGCAGTCAAACCGATCGATGCTGCTGCATCTCCAGCCCAGCAGACGGTGAAGAGTGGAGAGCGTGTTGTACTGCCCTGCCCAGTCAAAGTGGAGGCCAAAAATTTTGCAGTGTCCTGGTCAAAAGAGAGCCAAAATGGGGAAAAGACTGAACTCAAACTTTCTGACCAGAGCAGCAGGGTCCGGCTGGCCGAGGACAAAGTGTCTTTGGTCATTTCCGCAGTGACGGTAGGGGACGCTGGCCACTACAACTGCAGAGTGGGCCTTCCACAGATGGACGAGATGGTGGGCAGCATACAGCTGAATATCCTGGGTGAGAATTAAAGCAAAAGTTTGGCCAAAAATTAAATGTGCACAATCTTTAACCCTAAATCATTTACAATCAAGTAAAATTATTGTAACGTTGGTGTAGAGCAAGAGATTGGGGAGGTCATGATTCCACCACAAGAAGTGCTCATTATTAAACACCAGGGCAGGAAAGCACATACAAAGTACAGAACCCACAAGGGAGGTCACTACCAACCATACCACCAACCCACACTACCTAAACCCACTCCTCTATATGGAACAACATAAATAACTCATGAACACATACCTTTAACTGACAAACAACAGCAAAAACAAGACAAATAGTCCCTTTTCCGAAGGGTGTGCACCTTCCATGATCCTCCTGGCATCTGGCTTCTAGAGGCCAGCGCCAGCTAGTAGCAGGTCACTGCAGTATGTTCAATTCATACAGAACTTGTTCTGATTGGTTTAAATGAAACAAGTATAGTTTTTTGAATGTTTAGACTGATGCTGGGTTACTGCACTAAAATATGAAACATTTTATTCATTTTACTGCATTTGTAACACTATGAAATTAAATATTATATTGCTTTAATGCTAATCCAGGTCAGTGTAGTACCAGTTTTTACATTTTATAAGTGTTTAAGTGTCACCATTGGCAGATATACACATGAAAAAAATGGATATTGTCATTGTTTTCATACGTTTATTCACAGTCAATCTGTGTTTCCGGTTGTTTTGGCAGTCCAAAAGACCAAATTTAATATGATATAATGTTTTCATTTATGATCGATTTGAAAAATGTCTTCAGATCTGTGTTCAGGCAAGTTTAGATGGATCAAAGAACATTTGACAGTTCAGATACATTTCAGAATTCAGCCTAGATGAGTGGCTAAGTTTTGGAAGCTTATAGCTAGAAATTAGCATTGTGCCAACTGCACGCATAAATCATCACACATTTGGCACAATCTGTGTAGAGGTGTTACATAATCTCATATAGACTAGCTTACAGTCCCCTTCACAAATATTGGCACCCCTGGATAAGGAAAAAGGGTTATAAGAAATTCACGTTCTGCTGTATTAGCTGAATGTCACACTGAAGAAAGAGAAAAATGCACCCTTTAATTGAAGTAAATTTATTTTGAGAGTTTTGTTTTCAAAAAACAAGTGCCACCATTATTGGCACCCTTTAGGAACAAAACGTTTCCATTTTACTCAATACTCAAGTTGATCAGAGTGTCTAGAAACTCTCAAGCAGTAGTCCCTGACGTCTTGTTTCACTGGGGTACATATATGAGATGACTCAGAGGTCAAATTCCCCTGGTCATTCTCCAACATGGGAAAGACAAAACAGCACACAATTCGCATAAGGGAGAACTGTGTCGACCTTCAAACGTCAGAGAATGGCTGTAAAAAGCTACTCGCCTGAAAGTGCCCACATTTACAGTTAGGACAATAATTAAAACGTTCCAGTCAACTGGAACTGTGACAAACTTGCCCAGACGAGGACCCAAGGTTATTTAGCCCACATGCACAGAGTGAGGAGGACAGTAAACGAGGCCAACAAATTCTCAAGGATCATTATTTGTGAGTAACAGAAAAAATAGCATCTTAAGGTCACCAAGTCTGCAAAACTAGCATCAGATGCCACCTACATGCTAACAGATTATTTGGAAGGCATGCCAGGAAAAAAGCCTCTCATGTCATTTAACTACAAACATAAGCACCTGGAGTTAATAAACGCTCCTGGGACTTTGACTGGAACGGTGTTCTGTGGTCAGATGAAACAAAAATTGAGCTTTTAGGCAACAAATACTCAAGGTGGGTTTGCGTAAAATGAAAGATGACTACACTGAAAAGAACCTGATGCCCACTGTTGGCAAGTGTGGTGGAGAGTCTGCGATGTTGTAAGGCTGTTTTTCCCTCCAAAGGCTCTGGAAAACTCATTATGATGCATGGCATTATGGACGTTTTAAAACGAAACCTGTCTGCCTCTGCCAAGAAACTAAAAATGGGTCATCATTGGATCGTCCAGCAGGACAATAATCCAAAATGTATGTCCAGATCAGGGGTCAGCAACTCAAATGTTAAGAAGAGCCATTTTGTCCTTTCAAACCACAACATTTTATGTCCATTTTATTGAAGTAAAGTTTTACCATTTTAGCTGCAAATATGCCTTAGTATGTGCTAATGTTCTAGTGTAGACTACAAAATATAATGTAAACAAAAACGCAGACTTACTTTGCTCTGCTTTAAGCTTAAGCTGAGCTACAGCTGCTTTTCTCACATCTCTGGCAGGAAACTTTACCACAAAAGTAGAACAGTTTCTTGTAAAATGTCTCTCAACGTTGGACTTTTTACGAGGCCGAAGTCAGCTTCTCGTTCGCCAGCTTCTTGTTCACATTTTTCCGTTTCACCTTAAATGGTGCCTGAGGCGCCAGAATGTAACTGCTGCACCATTTAAGGTAGAACGGGACAATTAGAACAAGAAGCTAGTGAATGAGAAGCGACTTCAGCCTCATGACTTTTTAGAGTATGACAGTTTCTTGTGGCAGATTAAATGTCTCAGGGCAGTAAAAGAGCCGCATGTTGCCGACCCCTGGTCCAGAACAACACAAAAATGGTCGACTGTACACAAAATCAAGCTTTGGCCATGGTCATCTCACTCCCCTGATCTAAACCCCTTACAAAACCTGTGAGGTGAGCTAAAAAAAGAGAGTGCACAAGAGAGGAACTAGGACCCTGGAGGATCTGGAGAGATTCTGTAAAGAGGAATGGTCCCAAACTCCCTGCTCTGTGTTCTCCAACCCTATAAGATGTTAAGGAGAAGACTAAGTGCTGTTTTATTGGCAACAGGAGGTTGTGCAAAATACTAAATGCATGGGTACCAATAATTGAGGGACATTTGTTAAAAGTATTTTTTCCTGATGAGGGATTTATTTTTCTGAGAATAACTTTACTTCAAGTAAAGGTTAGAATATTTTTTTTTCTCATTTTTCTTCAGTGTGAGATTAAGCTAATTCACCAAAAGGTGAATTTCTTTTAACACTTTTTACTCATCTTTACCAGGAGTGCCAATAATTGTAAAAGGGAACTCTATGTGGTTTCTGACACTGTATGGTGTGCTGTTGCTAAAAATTGGTACAAAGTACACCATATAGCTAAGAACAGTAGCAAAAGCCACAATGCAGCCAATATATTATGTTATGTAATATTCCACTGGTTTTGTGATAGCATCCATCAGTGTTCTCTCACTACAATACCCAGCATGCTGCTTCTTTTCTGTGTCAGTGCAAATGGCAGAGAAAACAGCAGCAGTGAGCCGCACCATGTTTGTTTATTTGCATCTCCTAGCAATGAGAGAATAGTGAGTTCTGTTCAGTTCAGCAACAGCTTAAAAGACGAGTAGTGTGTGATCCCAAAGCATTTAGTGTGTGATCCCCAATATTTCAGTCACCCAAAAAAATCTGCAAAAAAACAGTTGGATTGTGCGAGATGCCCGGTCTTTTAATCATCTGTTAAGACTTTAAAAGTCACGTAATATATCCAAGGCTTTACTTTGCACACCAAGCATGTCTTGGCTGATCAGCTACATTCAGGTTAAGGGGGGGATTATGCAAATTTGATTTTAGGCCGAGTCATTACTGCTAGATAGAAACATAGCCCAGCCTTCGTACCATCCAGCAGAATTTAGCTCCAGCGCTAATCTAATCAATCTAATATCTGATCAAACTAATTTGAAAATTTTCATGAGAATCTAAATACTGGAGCCAAGAGTGTTAGATTACATTTTAAATTTCTATCTTGGCTAGGCAGTACGTCTAAAGGAGGATGAATAGAGTTCTCCACCAGGCACTTCATATGACCTTAATTTGTGTCATGTATATTCATAAAACACGTACGCTCACAAAGCAGTGAAGACTGCCTTCGGGCAATGTCAGCCGAAGAAACTATTTTTGTCTCCGGTGGTTAACCACACTAGAGGCATCATCAAAACATAACCAAAATTTAACCTGAGCACGCTTTCAGTTCAGCATTTTTTGATCATAGAACTGCAGGGTAGTCCCAGAAATAAACCAGCCTCGGCCGAGAGTGGAAGTGAAAGAAGTAAATAAAAACGTTTCGTATGTTCACCAACAGAGAAATATGTCTCCAAATCAGATGTCGTAAGTATAATAGAAAAGGCTGGGGGCTGATTGCAGACTTTTTCTGTGATCTTCATTAAAAATGTGAAAGTCTTAAAACAGCACCTACAAGTAGCTTTACGTTTTGGTATTGGTTTCGTATTATTGCCCATTAGTATTCTCTCACTACAATACCCAGCATGCATTACACAAACATGTGACATAATCGTTGGGAATCCCTGTGGCATCAACCAATCCTGACTCTTAGCCACTGATCTGGAGGCTAATAAATACAAATGTAAGGGAGTGTATCTATGTTTCCAGCGTTCTATGTTCCCAGGGTTCTACCAGGTTCTATGTTCTCAAGGCCCTGTGTTTCAGCATTCCATGTTTCCAGAGTTCTATGTCCCCAGGGTTCTCTGTTCTCAAGGCCATATGTTTCCACATTCCATGTTCCCAGGGCCTTTATATAATGCGTCATGCTTTAGTATAGTACACACAATATGGTACCTATGTTCCCAGGGTTCTCAGGGATCTATGATCCTAGGGTTCTATGTCCCCAGGGCCTTATGTCCAGCTCTTTATGTGATGCATTGTACCTCAGTATGGCTTATACAATATGATACCCATGTTCCCAGGGTTCTCAGGGTTCTATGTTCCCAGGGCCATGTGTTCAGCTGTTTAAATGACACATCAAACCTCAGTATGGTACATACAATATGGTACCTATGTTCCCAGGGTTCTGTGTTCTCAGGGCCCTATTATATTGTACCTCAGTATGGTACATACAACATAGTACCCATGTCCCCAGGCTTCTATGTTCCTTGAGTTCTATGTTCCCAGGGCCCTATGTTCAGCTGTTTATATGGTATATTGTACCTCAATATGGTACACTGAGGGAATCTATGAAAGGTTTCCCAGGGTTGTGGTTAATGGCATGGGATAACATACTTGTCCCCAGCTAGCCTAGGCTCGGTGAGCTAATTAGCTAGTTAATCAAACCATTTTTGTGAATGTTTGGATTAAAGGGGAATTCCGCCATTTTTTGTGGATGTAATCATTATTTAGAGTGGTTGGATGTAAAATGCCCCATTCTAAACTTCATCCTTGTAGAGAAGCTTACAGGCTCAGATTTCTTTACAGTGGTGGTGATAGGATAGAATCTACACATACTCAAGAGCACAAAGGTGCAAACAGTTCTGTGGTTAAGAACATGTCATGAATCTAACAGATATTATATCTCAGGACCTTTCTCAAGAACAAATTTCAGAAGAAACTTAGGAAGATATTGGTGAATGAGGCCCATTGTTTCAGGCATCAGGCAGTGTATTCATAACCATTTCATGTAATAACCTTCTGCGAGGGAGCCTTTAGAGGTGAATGTCTGGTTCCTCTCACAGCCACTGTGAACAATTCTGAATTGGTAAGTTTCTCTGGAACAGAGCATTTCACACCAAACTGCCCTGAATGACTTAGTTTACACCTTAACAATTGAAATACCCAGAAATTTTGAAAATTCCCTATTCCCTGGAATTCCCTATTAAGTGTGATGCACTGCTCTTCTCGTTTGTTGTTGCTAATTGTGTAGGTTGCTAACCAGCAGAACAAAGTAACAAACTTTAGATAGTACCACCGAAGAGGAAATGGTGAGAGCAAGTTGATAAGGGCAACACTAAAACAGTACTGAAATGGAGGGTAGGTGTTCTAACACAGGATGTGCTGAAAGACTTTGTTTTTCATTGTGTTTGATAATGTTTTGCAATGTTGTTAAAGCTGTGAAGAACAGATAAAATTATGTGGAAACATTTATATGCTGCATGTCACTGAATGAATTCTCATTACTTCTCATCAGCATGTGTTTGTATGTTTAAGGAAATCTGTTGTGAAGCAGCACAAACATACAACCCCATTTCCAAAAAATTTGGAGCGCTGTGCAAAATGTAAATAAAAATAGAATGCAATCATATGCAAATCAAGTAAACCATATTTTAAAAGAAAAATACTACAAAGACAACATATCAAATGTTGAAACTGAGACATTTTATTTATTTTATTTTTTTTAAATATGGCAATTTTGAATTTGAAGCCAACAACACGTTCCAAAAAAGTTGGGATGGGGTCATGTTTACCGCTGTGTTTCATCACCTCTTCTTTTAACAACACTCTGTAATTGTTTGAGAACCGAGGAGACCAACTGCTATAGTTCAGAAAGTGAAATCTTTTTTCCATTCTTGTTTGATAAAGGATTTGAGCTGCTAAACAGTTCGGGGTCTCCTTTGTCGTATTTTTCATTTCATAACACGCAAAATGTTTTCAGTGGTGAAAGGTTTGGACTGCAGGCAGGTCAGTTTAACACCTGGACTCTATTAATATGCAGCCATGCTGTTGCAATACATGTAGAATGTAGTTTGGCATTGTCTTGCTGAAATAAACAAGGCCTTCCCTGAAAAAGACGTCGTCAGATGGCAGCATATGTTGCCAAAACATGTATCTATTGTTCAGCATTAATGGTGCCTTCACAGATGTGCACGTCACCCATGCCATGGGCATTAATGCACCGCTATACCATCATGAATACAGGCTTTTGAACTGTGCACTGATAACAAGCTGAGTGGTCTTTAGCCCAGAGGACACAGTGTCCATGATTTCCAAAAAGAATTTCAAATTTTGATTTGTCGGGCCACAGGGCACTTTCCCACTTCCCCTCAGTCCATTTTAAATGAGCTCGGGCCCAGAGAAGGCGGCGGCGCTTCTGGATCCTTTTTATATATGATTTTTCTTCTGAGTTTTAACTTGCATTTGTGGATGCAGTGATGAACTGTGTTCACAGACAGTGTTTTCCAGAAGATTTCCTGAGCAAATGCAGTGATTTCCACTGCAGAAGCATGTCTGTTTTTAATGCAATGCCGTCTGAGGGCCCAAAGACCATGTCCAGCAAATACTGATTTTTGGCCTTGTCCATTGCGTACAGAGATTTCTCCAAATTCCCTCAATCTTTTAATGGTATTATGTACCGTAGATGATGAAAAGCAAAGGTTCTGTGCTATTTTATGTTGATAAATGTTATGCTTGAATTGTTGCCTGTGCAGTCTTTCACAAAGTGGTGAACCACTCCCCATCTTTATTTCTGAAAGACTCAGCCTCTCTGAGATGCTCTTTTTATACTCAATCACGTTCCTGACCTGTTGCCAATGAACCACCAGGTGGTTTTTTTAGCATTACACAACTTTACCAACCTTTTATAGCCCGTTTCAACTTTCTGGAACGTGTTGTTGGCATCAAATTTAAAATGGGCATATATTTTTCAAAAAACAATACAATTTCTCAGTTTCAACATTAGATATGTTGTCTTTGTACTATTTTCAATGAAATATAGCGTTTAAATGATTTGCATATCATTGCATTTAGTTTTTATTTCCATTTTGTACAGCGTCCCAACTTTTTTGGAAATGGGGTTGTAAACAAAATTTCTGATTTTATTTACTGAACATATAACATCATAATGTGTATGTTTAGAAATACAGCAAAGGTAAAGAAATTACTCTAATTTTCATGTTGAGGCAAAATAATTGAGGCAACATGGGCACATAGAGCTATTTCCAATAACAATGTCAATGAGGGAAAAAAAACTTGATGATCAAGAACCCTGGGAATATAGAGCTGTGTCAAAAATCACAAAGAGGGACCATAGGGCCCTGGAATCAGAGGGCTGTTTCCTAGAAATTCCAAAGAAAAAGTAAAGGGCCTTGGGAACATAGGACTAAGCCCCATCTGTAGTGCTAGCTAACATTAGTGCTATTAGTTGTTATACCTTTTTTCTTTGTTAAATGAATAATTCAGCTAAAGAAATTTCAAATAGCCCACCCCCTGTACCACCACTGCTGCACTTGTGGTCAAAATTGACTTCCTCTTTCAAGATACAAGATCAAAAGCAGGGTTTCCCTGCCAGAAAAAAAACAGCCTAGACCAGCAAAACTAGCATATCGTTGCTGTTACTAACATTTCCAAAATGGCACCTTTTCAAGAGAAGGAACAAACATTCTTTACCTTGCATGTACTTAATGTAAAGAAATTTGATTCCAAGTAATTGGGGCATTTCTATTGGTCCATTCATCACGGAATTTTCACACAGCTGTTGTGTTCAAATGATGTAGAAAAATAAAAATAAAGAAATAGAAATAAGATACTTTTTTTGGACAGCAACAATATGCTGTGTTTTGGATGCTGGTAACAGTAGAAGTTAGTAAGCTGGTCACAAGCAAAACCAGCATATATTGTCATTTGGATGCTGGTATGTTGGTCAACCAGAAAGACGATGCTGGGTGACCAGCTAATGTGTATTAAGCTACATGCAGTTTGCAGGTCAGTAGACCATATTATTTGCTAGAAGTACTTAGCATTTACAACCTATGATGAATATATTAATAGTTTGAAACTTTACCTCCTCGTACAGCTGAATGAATGTATGAGCATTTGTACATGTGTGTATGTCTTGATTTTTCTAGCGTCCCCCAGTGCTCCACAGCTCTTTCTGCAAGTTCCCCCAAACCCCGCACTAGAAAACTGGCACTTACTCTGTGTGACCAAAGGTTTCTACCCTGCTCACTTGACTCTCCGCTGGACCTGGAGAAGCAAAGCAGCCAAGGCAACTCCAGTAAGTGCTAGTTGTACACTGAAACCGGCTAATCAAGAGAACAGCAAACTCCAGGCCTATGCAGATATTACCCAAACTGTTAGCTCTCACGCTAACAGCACAGTATACTTGCAACCACATTTCTGCGTCAGTGGTCCAGACGGTCTTGGCCCTGAGACACAGTTGACCAGCGTGCTGTCTCTGCCTTCTCGGACGTCGGTTAGTGCAGATGTCAAGTTTACCTGCACTGTGGAGGACCATCCTGCGTTAGATGCTATTCTTTCTGCCTCGTTTGACTGGGGTAAGTAGACTGGATTGAAGCCTAGAATTGGACTTATAGCTCAGCAACGATTAAATGTACTCATTTAGAACCTTAGTGTTAAGCCAAGACATGTTTGGTCTCTGAAGTTTGGCTTAAAAAAGCAGGCTCCAAGAAGGCTGATGATACTGTTTTTAGCTATGCAACATACTTTTGTTCATTTTTGTAGATAATACTGTGGCATACCGTGTCAGAAACCACATAAGCCTATTTGAGATTACTCAACAAAAAAGTGATGATTTAGACATGCTAATTGGTGGCTGTCAGTTATTCGAGGGGTCCCTTTTAGACTAGCCACTCCAGCACTGGCTCAGAGACACACTCCAAACCCACAAATGTGAGTTAAATGACGATAAGCTTTGTATTATCTTAGTTTAATACTGTTTCAATGTATTATGGTCTATTTCTTCACAACAAGCATAAAAAATCGCTAGTAGTTTGCTGATGTCTCAGTAGCTAGCTAAATTCCCTGTTCCACCTTAAATGGTGCAGCAGTAACATTCTGGTGCCATTTAAGGGGGCAGTTGTGGGCTGGAGGGGGCCATCGTGGGCTGGAGGTTAGGGAACCAGCCTTGTGACCGGAAGGTCACTGGTTCGAGCACCTTGGCCAACAGTATGTGACTGAAGTGCCCTTGAGCAAGGCACCTAACCCCCAACTGCTCCCGGTGCGCCGTGGATAGGGCTGCCCACCACTCCAGGCAAGTGTGCTCACTGCCCCCTAGTGTGTGTTCACTAGTGTGCATCTATGTGGGTGTTTCACTGCACGGATGGGATAAATGCGGGGGTCTGATTCCTCTGTGTGCAAACACAGTTGGCTAATGGTTCTGAATTCAAGGTGGAACGGGAAAATTACAACAAGAAGTTGGCGAATAGCTGACTTCAGCTTCATATCACCGAAGAATTAGGAGTGGGCGATAATAAGAAATTGTCCCTCTTTGAAGGCATATGATTCCCTAAATGTAACTAAAGACCAGCAGTGAGGAGCTGAACTCACTGAAGACTGGCAGGGTCGCCTACAGAGCACCACTAGTAGCCTGTTAATGAAGTAATGTTATTTTTATTTGAGGGTCCTGTTTTATAGGAAAATTTTAACCACTACCCCTTGTGACTCAGTTCTAAGTGGCAAGGTGACACTCGAAAACAAGGGGTAGGGGTAAAAAATAAGAAATGAGATTGGGCCTTTCTCTAGCAATGCTGGGTCAATGGGGCCTGGGCTTTACAAATTAGACATTCACTCAACCAGTGTCATGCTGAATATTCCCAGAAGCTGCACCCAATGAAGTGATGGGATGTCTCAACATTGTGAAAATGGTGATCCTCTCTGGAATTTGTGTGTTATTCATCACTTTGAGTGAGTAGATCTCTTTGGTACAATGTCTTGTTGGGATAAAGTTTAATAAAAAGAAAAACGATAGTTTAAATTTGGTGTTAATTTGAAAAATCCCACCAATTTTTTTACACTAAATATTTATGGTGTACAATAAAATTGCTATAGACCTTCAGAGTGATTTGGTCTGAAATGCTCTGTTCTAGAGAAACTTGCAGAGTCAAAATTGTTCACAGTGGTGGTGATAGGAACCGGACGTCCACCTCTAAAAGCTCCCTCACAGAAAGTTATTACATGAAATATGTATGAATACACTGCCTGAGACACTGTTTCACGATAGTATTAGGCCAAATATCTGAAATCCATTCATGATGGAGAGGTACATCAACAATACATATAAACACTCAGAAGATGTAGAGTATAGGAAATGAAATATAGTTGCTTTGTAGATATTTTGACCTCTGGTTTCCATCACCACCACGTTTCCATCACCATCAAGTATTTTATATCAAACTGTTCTGAAAGGCCTTGTTTCTGTCTCATTGATTGAATCATGTGGAAATTTCATGGAGAAAGTTTATCTTTCAATAGTGAAATATCTGTTTCTTCACTAACCATGAACCATATCTGAGACCATATCGTTTTTCTGCAGAAATCGTTTCCTTGTGCGAACGCAGGCCTAAATATCGTAAAATGCAGGTGAGGTTTGAAAATGCATCTTCTACTCCACCTGATAACTCCAACACATACACCCTACTAGCACATACAGATGTATACACACTCATTCTCAGCCAAACATGAGGTGAATATAGTGGAAGAGCTTATATATGCATATTCATACCATTAATGAAAGCTTGGTCACCTGATTTTGATCATTGTGTGTCTTTAGGGTTCACAGTCACATTAATGGATAGAGTGCAGAGCGACGGAACGACACATACATCCGACACAGTCTTGGAATGACTGATATTCCAGTGTATTATGCAGAACAGACATTTAAACAAGTCTACAAATCTCCCAGACAGTGACCCGTCTCCAGTCCAGGTCACAATATTCTCTTGATGGGTTTCCATGTAAACAAAAGGGAACATTTTTACTACATGAAAGTGTTTCTGTCTTCCTTAACAAAGTCCAGACTTCAGAAAAAACTCTATGTCTTGTTCACCTTGTTCACCACAAGTCATCCATTTAAATACCTGGAGGTGCCAAGCGGCCACAATCCCAATAAATTATAGCAACAACTTCCCTGGGTAGGGTATTTGATGTGCCCTTCATATGTTTAGCTCTCTCCACGTGTGCTTACTGGAGTATATTTGCAGATACAGACGATCGTGCATGCGCTCACAGCTCAAGATTAGCAGTCGGAGACAATAACCTTATACAAATATTTGTCGGGTTTATAAATCATAGCTCATACACAAGCATACCACAGGGAGATCCGCGGTTAGAGGGAGATGATTATGAGCATGGAGGAAATATACCATAAAGATTTTATGACACCGTGCTGGCGAGAAAAGGCAGGGCAGACAATACAATCAGCAATGTACTGTCCCCGTGCTGCAATAAACACATTAAATAACGACAGCTAATTTCAGTTTAGGCCTAAAGAATTGATATTTGTGACTGTTTGGAGAAGATAATCAGTCTTCGCTGGTTTAAGGCTGGAATCATTTTTGGTAGCAGTTAACTTCAAGGCTACCTACATAGGGCCTTCCAAAACATGCAGTAGTCTTGATACTAATCTTGTATCTCCATTCTTGTCATTTTTGAAAACTCCACTTGCTTTTTACGTTGTGTCAATATGTTATGATGAATTGACCAATAGAAATGAACCAAAATTACGTCTTTTATTAACTTCTATTACAGGTAAACAGTGTCTCCTGTCCATTTACCACTTTGGAGATGTTTTGTTTTGACCGTGACAACATTTGTAGGCCACTGTTCATATGGCTACGTAACACCTACATAAGCACGTCGTGGCAACTAACATAAACCTACATGGACATTTTTAAAGGCTTCAAATAGGTCATAATGGCTGCTCATGTTGACATGAAAGTCACTTGACATCGATTTCAGTCAGTCATTTCACACCTCAGAATTGGCTGCTTGACCTTAAAGTTGGCAAATGCAGCGTTTATGACAAATGACACTTATTTGAATAAGTGTTTATAAATGATTATGTAGCTCTTTACTGGTTGTCCTGAAGGGCCTTTGTAGGTCTTGTAGCCGTACGAAACTAGGGGTCACATAGACTTTGTTCACACAGCAGGTAAAAGTGGCCCAAATCTGACCTTTTTCCTCATATGTGACACAGATGTGTCATCTGTGTGTCAGTGTGAACAAAAACACGCTGAATCTGACATTTTCAATTACGATTTGAGACGCTTTCATATGTGGTAGTGAAATCCGATACGTAAAGTATCTGATGGCACAAACAAAAGAAATGACTGTGCCCTTTTTACGGCTCAAACACATGCTGGGTGATGAGCCCAGCTATCAGTCAGTGAAGCTTCATGATGGCTCCTGTGATGCTGGCGAAGATGAAACTGAACCCTCCGGGAGCCGACCGGCCTTCCTTGGCAGTTGTGATTGTTTACCTCTGGATGAGTGCGCAACATGAAGCAACATAAAGCATTGTTCTTTTGCGCATGTTGGTCAGTTTAGGAGCTAATGTGTTCAGACTAATGTCACAGATAGGTCACGATAAAAGATATTGTGAACAAACAAAAACAAAAAAAATCAGATTTGGTGGGAAAATCAGATTTGGGCCCCTTTTACCTGCTGTACAAACGCAGCCATAGACTAGTCGTCTAATAAATACACTAGTCAGCTCTCTAGGCAGTAGTTGACTAGTCAAAGACAGTACCATAGCTGACACACAGCTATGGTAAAAAGTGAAAAAAAAAACAATATAAGACAATGTAAATAGAACATTAAAAGAGCAAAGTGCTTCCTTTGTGACAAATGCTACATGATCCATCTCTTATAGGAAAGTGCCCTTGACCAACATGCAAAACAATCAATCACAGCATATTTAGTGCGACTTCCCTGTAACAAAAAGGTACTTCCTACCTATGGCTTGAAACAAAATTCTGGAATAACTTCTTGAAGATGTCATAAATGATCCCTAGTTCAGCAACTGAGTCTGTATCGCACTCTGAAAGGCTTACTGGTGAGTTGAGATGCAACGGCTTGTATACATTTAGCTTGTAGGATAACTGAAGCCAGATGAAATTCTCTGTGAGAGGTGAGATTCTGAGAGCTGTGGCGATTTTAGTCAGTGTACTTCTATGAATAGAGTGCCTGAGACTGAGCCTTAATGAAATACAGCAGAAAAACTGCAGTGCACATTTCACACCTCAGACCGCAGCATCTTCCCCTATTTGCATCTTACCACTTTTTTGTTTCATATGGTAATGACTAGTTGACTACTTTTTGGAATAGCTAGACAACTAATGAAAATAGTAATTGTGAAAACCCTTAGTGTGAACACTGCCTTACAGTAAAGTCTTTTTGAATATTTGCAATAGTATTCGCAAAATGACATTAGATATTTTTAAATCTGAATGACATTATACTGCCTGTCAAGTGCCATTATTTGGGAGTGATGCTTGCTAACAGTATTACAAACAGAACAAATGTCTGGCACTTTAGTTTAAGGCCTCTTGTCTCAATACAATGTGATTTGCTTTATATGTATTCAAGTATTGCCTTTAAATGGATATAAATGTGTTTAAATGTTTTCTGTTATGAAGTCCCAATGTGGTTATCCTTCAAATAAAGTGGGGCCATAATTTTAATTAGAATGAGGCATAATGTTATAATGTTATATTGCTATATTGTTAGCTGGAAATTTTCATTTCATTAATTTTGTTGTCTGCTGAGGTATAACAATGTTGTCATTTCCTGAATTAGTATGTAATAAACAGGCTAGAATGGAGAACCGTGATATTTTTAAAGCTGTCTCTCTCTCTCTCTTTTTCTCTCACATAACATTCTCAGCAACTGCTCTGCCAACCACCTATTGTTCTTTTTTCCCAGAACCAAATAATCTTCAAATATTAACATAAGAGCAGGTGAAATAGGTGGCTCTATTGACCCGAATATTGCCTGCCTGTGCAGCCCCTTTATCTCTCACACTAAGCAAATGGTGGTTCTGTTTCTAATCTCCTCTGAATCACACAGACTATGTGTTTGCTGTGGGTGAAGTGGATTGAGGTCAGGGCTTTTTCACCCCATCATTCAGAATGCCCAGTTCACGTTTTTAATTCTGGACAGCTGAAATATGACACTATGCTGGCAAGAAAAGGCAGGTCAGACACTACAATCAGCAATGTACTCTCCCTGTGCTGCATTAAACACATTAAATAACGACAGCTAATTTCAGTTTAGGCACGAAGATTTGATCTTTTTGACTGTTTGGACAAGATAATCAGTCTTTGCTGGTTTAAGACTGGAATCATTTTTGGTAGCACTTTGTTTCAAGGATACCTACAAAGGGCCTTCTAAAACATGCAGAACTTCTAGTATTTACCTTGTAGAAAACTCTCCTTTTTTGATAACTTCACTTGCCTTTATGTTGTGTCAATATGTTACGATGAATGGACCTCTAGAAATGAAACAAAATTACTGCAGAAAAAAACCTTTTATTAACTTCCATTAAAGGTAAACAGTGTCTCCTGTCCAGTTACCATTTTAGAGATGTTTTGTTTTGAACCGTGACTATATTTCCAAAGCAATACTTGGATATTTGGTAATACTTTACTGTAGGCCTTTGTTCATATGGCTACAAAACACCTAAAGAAGTTCGTCATGACAACGAACATGAACCGTCAAAGACATTTTTAAAGGCTTCAGAATGGTCATAATGGCTGCTCATGTTGACATTTAAGTCAGTTGACATCGATTTCAGTCATTTTACACCTCGGAATTGGCTGCTTGACCTTAAAGTTGGCAAATGCAGCCTTTACGACAAATGATGACTATTTTGTTTATAAATGATTATGTAGATCTTAACTGGTTGTCCTGAAGGGCTTATGTAGGTCTTGTAGCCATATGAACTAGGGGTCACATAGACTAGTCCTCTAATAAATCCATTGGTCAGTACTGTGGGCAGCAGTCGCCTAGTCGAGGACAGTGCCATAGCGGAAACACAGCTGTGGTATATTGTTATATAGTAAGCTGGATAATTTCATTTCATTGATTTTGTTGTCTGTTGAGATATACCAATGTTGTCATTTCCTGAATTAGTATGTAATAAACAGGCTAGAATGGAGAACCGTGATATTTTTAAAGCTGTCTCTCTCTCTCTCTCTCTCTTTCTCTGACATAACATTCTCAGCAACTGCACTGCCAACCACCTATTGTTCTTTTTTCCCAAAACCAAATAATGTTCAAATATTAACATGAGAGCGGGTGAAATAGGTGGCTCTATTGACCCGAATATTGCCAGCCAGTGCAGGCCCTTTATCTCTCACACTAAGCAAACGGTGGTTCTGTTTCTAATCTCCTCTGAATCACACTGACTATGTGTTTGCTGTGGGTGAAGTGGATTGAGGTCAGGGCTTTTTTACCCCATCATTCAGAATGCCCAGTTCACGTTTTTAATTCTGGCCAGCTGAAACAAAACACGAATCATGTGGACGTTCATAAACAGCCCAGCCTCCTATTTGAAAGCACACAAAACACAGCCCTCTTGTGTACACAGCAGCTCCTATATAATGCCTTTTTCCTCATTCTGTGGGGTGATAAAGCCTGCACGTGAGCTCTGTTGTCCAGGCCTCGGCCTAATCTGTGCAGGAAGTATAGACACATTAATTAAGCAGAGCCTGTGAAAACACAAACAGCGCAATAGAAACATTCACCAATATTTTCTTAATATATCTCAGTAAACAGTACTATCACTCCTAGAGGCACTTATTTTAAAAGTCCACAGTCTATAAGCCAGAGGTCTCTCGTGACCTTGAATCCTGTTTCCAGTTCTGGAGTTTGCAGTCAATGGCACTAATGGAGTTTTTCAGTACAGAACAGTACAGATGCACATCTGTTCCCAGAACTATCCATACCCTGGTTGAGTACCTGTGTCCTTTTCTCATTGCATAACAGAACCATAGGCTTCGCTTTAGCTTGTGTGGTCACTTCATTTCTCATGTGAATCTAGTGTGAACAGTAAACACAAACAACTATAGCAACAACAGAGGAGGTTAAAGCTCTGTATTAGCTTTTACTCTGGTGGTGAATAGCAATCCCAGAAATCAGTAGGCCTTTCTGAAGGCCTAGAAGACCCTGAGGGTTTCCCTTTGGTATTAGCGGGGTCAATCATTACAATGTCCAGAAAAATGCAAACTGGATTAATGGTCCAGATTTGAAGACCTCTGCTATAGGCCTAATTTGGCTCCTTTAAAAATCTGTACTTTATAATTTGCCACATATTGGCACAGAATAGTTTCTCTGACAGTCAAATGTACTGAGATAAAATATCTCAATTGTGCGACAAATATACATTTCCTTTGCAATGAATTTCATGATTGCAATTGCGTATTCCTTCCACTCCAATCTTTCTCTTTCCAATAACAGTTCCTTGGAGATCTGAGTCTGACATGCTCCATTCAACATACATGAGGAGTTACAAGCAGCAAAATTGGCAAAAAAAAACATCTCAGTGCAAACATATCATTGGTCAAGAGTGCTGATATATTAACAATGATGTTAGCCTCATATCCTGTTCTGCTAGGTAGTGTTTGTCAGAGGACGTTGAGTTCCCTGGCTTGGGGAAAGATTTTTCACAGTTCCATCAGAACCCTGACCAAAGCTGTTGGCAGTGCACTCCAAATCGTGCATTCCTACAGTGCACTTCAGTCCCTTCCTGTCCTACTAGCTAGCGTTTTGTCAGAGCGCGTTGAGCTCCCCTGGTTTGGGGAAGTGGTTTTTGGCTGTCTCATCAGGGCCCTTTACAGGCCTCCAGCAAATCCTAGCACAGTTCCACGTTTTGAGCCGACTCAGAATGCTCCGCATCACTGAGCTTAGTGCGCTGCGCACGGCAGCTGATGATAGGTAGAAGATTAGCGGGTCCAGGCAAGCGTTGAAGGTGCTTAGCAGCAGGGCCTTGTCCCTCCAGCCCGGGCTTTGCTTAGTGATGAACCCCACAACATGTGAGACATTGTAGGGTCCAAAGCAGAGTGCAAAAACCAGCAGTGTCCCCAGGGCCAGGCCAATGGCCCGGAGGCGCCGCCGCCTACCAATGTTGGGTAGCCGCAGCAGTATGCAAATGAAGCTGATGTAGCAGAAGGCACAAATGACCAATGGGATGCAGAAGAGAACCACACACAGCTCCAGCCGAACGGGCAGTAGGATTCTGAGCTGGGCCTCAGTGAACTCTTCATAGCACACGTTCCGGGCCACAGGGCCTGTCCCAGGCGGGTTGTAGTAGGGCATAATGTAGACTATGCTAAGGTGGAGGATTGACAACATCCAGAGGAAGATACTAGCCACCACGGCATAGATGGGCCTTCGTCTCAAAGAGTGCTGGATGGGGAAAGCCACACCCAGGTAGCGCTCCACGCTAACTGCGGTCAGGAAGAAGGTGCTGTTATAGATGGTCATGTAGAAGACAAAGCCAGACAGCGGGCACAGGAAGTAGGGCATGTCCCACCTCATTCCGTTGGCCACCTCCTGCATCTTGAAAGGCAGGAAGACGAGGAAGAGCAAGTCCGAGATGGTCAGGTTGAGCAGGAGGATGTCGATGGGCACAGGTTTCCGCCATACCTTGCGGCCGAATGTGTAGAAGGCCAGGAGGTTGGAGGGGAAGCCTGTGACGAAGGTGAAGATGTACACCGAAAGGCACAAGCCAGTCTCGCACTCCTGCATGGTTGATGTTGATGCTGTTGCACATAGACAGTCGCAGAAGAATCATCAGCTTAGCGTGAGCTAAGCCTCATGTTGAACACTGGAAAACAACAATAGTCATTTACACATTGCAGCCATGAACACATTATAAAATTAATATGAATATGAATCATAATTAATTCAATATGAATATGAATTAATTATGATAATAATATGCTCTATTTATATGGCAGCTTTCACAGACCCAATGAAAAAAACCTTTTGACAAAAATCATCCCATTCTGAAGTATCCACCCCAAAGTACTTGTAGTCTTATGAAATTTCTTCCACCTTCAAAATACATCATCAGTAGTGGGTTTTAGTCTTTAAACCAGAAAATCTCCAATCTGTAGACTACTGCAGTATTGCTGTACGTGGAGAGTAGACAGGTTTATGACAAATGTAGTGCCTTAAACAAAGTACTTATAGAATAATAAGTCTTCAGATCAATAACGGAATAATAAGCCTGAAGTTTAAAAAATTAAGTCAACCACTTTGCATTATCATGTCTTAATAGAAAGCTTTTCTTGTTATTATTTTGCATTGTTAGAAGACCAAGGGTAGCAGGGTTTCCTGTTCTTTTTTTCTGTTCTTTCATGTTAAATGTTAAAAGCTGCTAAAGTTGAATGTGTTTACCAACATTTCCTTCTTGTAAGTCTGGGCGTGTTACTACCATGAGTTACTCTAGTTAACCCTCCCCAGTGTGTACTATAGCTGGTTGTGGGAGCACCGCCAGATGTCTTTGTATAGACTCCGGTAAGCGTGTGCAGTCTTTGTAATAAAGTAAACAGTAGAGATCCTGAACCTAATGTTTGCTATTTACCCCTGCTCTGCTTCGCTCCACTGCAGGAGGTAATCTTACAAAGGAGAATGTAAAATCACAAGATAGAAGCATGTAAAACTGCTCAGAAATCAATAAGCTGCTAGTAAGTTACTGTTATACGTACTGCAATACACAAAACACTATATAGTAAGAGGATCGAAACTCTAAGTAATTTGCTGCACGGAAGTCATGCTAATTTTCATGCAGTTCAGCTTAAAGCATGACAAAACAATGCTTTACTGTGATTTCAACACAGGTTTGGTCTTTTAGACATGGCATGAAGTGGTTGAAACCTGGTGTTGTTTAAACTGAGGGGCTTATTTTCTTAAAAGATAGTACACTGATGCTACATCCACAAGTCTGCGGTAGATGGATGACGACAAACTGGATATTGTTTTCAACAGAGCCACAATGAAAAATTCTGCCCCCACAAATATCAATGGGCCTCATTCACTGATATGTTCTTTTGTAAATTTGGTCTTGAGAAAGTTCCTAAGAAAAAAATTACGTCAGATTCTTGTTCGCAGCTTTGTGCTCTTAAGTGTGTGTACATTCTGTTTTTACTTAAGAATAAATTAAGAAAACATTGGTGAATTTCAGAATCTTTGTTAAAAACTGCATAAGTTGGTTTTAAGAAGAACTTTCTCCTTAAGAATGGTGGGTGAATGTGGTCCAATGTTCACAGACCAGTTTTTCCAACTTTTGCCATGGACCACAGTGGTGGAATAAACAGGATGCTAGTTTTCTGGCGGAGCCATGGACGCCAGTGTCTTACTGTTGAATCCAGACAAACCCAGACTTATACAACAAAAATAAAACAGTACAGAGTGTCCTCCTTTTCCTTATCCACTTCAAATAAACAATATTCACTGCTAAAGCTCTTCTCTAATAACCGTTCATTTGTGCTGGCGCCACAATCACTATGACAACGTTTGTGTAGTTTCATGCAGCTGTGTACCACCATGAGGTGAGGAATAACAGTGTTTTCTACGCAAACGTGAATATAGCATAGCTCACAGGCTAAACCTCTTTGAAAATGAATAGATGGCTTAATTACATAAATATGCCATTTGGTTTTTCTTTATTTTTCTTTTTCTTTAAAATGATTTAAATATTACTACTACTGATAAGTAATAGTACGTTATCACTGTTGATTAGCAACTCCTTGCAAATTATTACTGTTATTCTAAAGCCTATACTGTTCTTGCATCCAGGTCAATTACAGTGCATCAGTAAAATATCCACTCTTTCTACTCTACTTTGTTGCAATCACTGTATCTTATTACATGAATGGAAACAAGAAGCTGAATCATGCTGAAAAGAAAAGAACATTAGTCAAGTCTTTCTATTTATAAAGAAGTGATATTACCTCAGGCGTTCTTTACTTTCATTCTTGCAGAGAAGAAGCAGAAGAAGGAAAAAGACCAGTTTGCGCAAGAGGCAAAAATTAAGATTGATGTAACGTAGGAACTCCTTGGGCGCTGTGGTCAGAGCCGAAATGCTGACCAGCGCTTATCTGCTGGTATCTCATCCCCTCTCCAGCTGCTGCTTTCTGGGAGCCTGTGTTGACACTGCTTCTTTTCAGTGGAGACAGCGGCCTATCTGCTTCCAACTTCCACGCCTTCGCTGTTTACTCTCGCAGCTCGGACAACGGAAAATTAATAAGACACAGCCAGGTCCTCAGCCAAACTCCCTACAAACCATCTCCGTGGAAACATCCCTACTGGATGGGCTTACGTCTGAGAGGAGGGGCTGACTGGGTGTACGTGAGGGGGGTGAGGTGTGTGTAGGTCGGTAGCAACAGACAGTCCTGCTCTTATCTGGATTGATACACCTTCAGGTGTGTGGGAGAGTTGATTAGGAAAGAGCGAGGGAGGGAGGGACATAGACAAGAGGGAAGAAGGAAAGTGAGCTAAGGTAATTAATCAACCTTACTGGTCCACCTCGCACTCAACATCAAGGCTAGTTGCCTTTTCAAAGCAAACTGCATGAAGCTGTCTATATTTCCCCACACATCCTCCTCACTACACTTCCTAATGTGTGTTTAAAGGGAGCTGATAAAGCTTTGAATGAGTTCAACATTCTCACCCACTGATTGGGCTTCATTCAGTAGCTCACGCACTGGAAAACCCCAGCCTTAAACAATGAGTGTCAAAAATGTGTTTCACAATGCCGTACCGCACACATACCAATGCACTTACAATAGAAAGGATTCCTCAGGGTTTCTAGGTTGCGGTGGTGGTTAATAATGAAATAATGTTTCAACAGGCTTCTTTCTTCATGTTCTGGCATGACTTAGCTCCATTACAAAAGTAAGGTGAGAAAACATTTAATGCCATATTAGAAATTAGTGTATAAAATGAATGGAAAATCATCCACAATAACACTGCAGGAATTCCTATCAGAATCGGTTGGCTTTACATGGCGAAACTTTTAGTTTGAGACTTTAGTTGCTTAAAAACTGCACGAAACTAACTTGCACTTGAGTTGCATAATGTCAAGCGTCCTGCCACTCACTTGAACAAGTTTCATGAAACAGCGCATTAAGTTTCATTCAAACTTGAAACTTGAAACAAACCCAATAGCGAGAATACAGTGGACCACTGTTGACCCACTGATGGCAAAGCCGGCAGTCCACTGGCATTTTGCTCAGCATTTTCCTGGTGGCCCACTGGTGGTTAAGCAGACTCTTACACAAAATGTCCTTTGAAAATTAGTTTAGTAAATAATTTTCATCTAGGACAGTGTCAGCCATAACATTTTCAACTAAATCATTTTATATTAGCCCTGGTCATTACTTTTTCTCCCAGTTGTAATATTTGTCTTGCTGTCTGGGAAGTTTCATGAAACAGACCATCAAAACATCATGTGATCACACATCCCTGACCAAAATGGAGATGACGCATCAAGTGAGCACATATTGCACATCATACTTTGAAACGTCTTATAATATTTATGTGGTTTTAGCTACAAAAAAGTGATCATAATTCATTTTTATGACCCTTTTCTAAGCTGTCTTTATCTTTAAGAATTAACAAGCGGTTTTGTTACTGCGCCTTTAAGACTGACGTATGTAAACGATCTTTGTTCTGGCTGGCTGAAACACTCCTTATAATTTCAGCATGAAAGGGTGGATCTAAACTGCCATAGGCTGAATAGTCAAATGTGTAAATGTACTGGTTTTCATGACATAACAAAAACAATTTAAAATGCTCTGTTTGCATTGCGCATGGACTGGAACAGTCTGGAACGTTAACAATGTTTACATGTTATGTCAAGCATGTTTATTTAGAAAAATCTGGAAAATTTGTGAAAAATGACATGGGCCCTTTAAAACTGCTTGCAAGTAAAATTTGGCCCATATTTTCCTCTCATGGTTTAGTTAGCTGAAAATGTCTTACAAGACAGGTCAGTACAATTATCACTTGAATTCACGTCAGGATTCATTCAAAAGCTACCACACGTGACCGCAGTTAGACTAATGTAGGCGGTAACTGTGATGAAAAATAGAACAATAATAACTTAGTAGCTTAGTAACGTGCATAATTAATTCAAATTCATCACTTTCAAAGCTATAAAACACAAAGGCTAGACTATAAATGCAGTTTGCGTTATTGATAGCCTAGCCATTAGCAGCTATTTTGCCTGACAGGATGAACTGCTGCTCATGCCTATGCTTGAATTGTTCCTCACACTAAGGTAAGAGCTCAACAATGTTTTGTTATCACATTTTAGTATTTTTCACAAATTTTTCTCACACATTTTTCACATATCCCCCTCATACTTTCACATATTTTCCTCAGGTGAAAGGAGCTACTAGCCAGTTTTGTATGAATTCTGTTTAGTTAGCATAACTGAAGCTAAGATTTACTTGCCATTACTAAGTCAGAGACCAACAATATGTCATGTTGTATCTAATTTAGTCAATAATACCACTATGTTTGTGTGTTTTGTGAAGTCTACTGCTTTTTATTCCTCAAGCAAAAATATCAACTTGTTTTTAGCAGCTAGCTTTGCTTAAAGGCCATTTCCCCTGCATTCACCCTTACAGAAACCTGATATATGGCCATATATGCACATATATCATTAAGAGCCAGGCATATATTACAAAATATACGTACACATATGTTATGTACATATAAATCATCATTGTATATATCTGTCTGATAGGTGAACACATGCATAATATATGGATCGACATATATATACTATCTGCCCAATATACATTTGATACAAATACTGAATGACATTTTTTAAGGCGAATAATTAAAATGAAGTACACCAGCAACATATATGAAATAAAAAACCTTGTAATATAACATGAAGCTAGCATATATGAGTAATATAAACCATCCTGTCACGCATCGACCCGTGCCACAAGACAAATTGGACCTCATTCCCCCGAACCCCTCAGGAGGATCACGTGACTACGCAACTTCCCTCTGACTCGGAAAACTCAGCGGACTGCATTACCCACATGACCTCTGAAGAGATCACACGCTCCTATCAGAGGTCGCATTCACCCGAATACTAAATGTTTGCACCTGTGTTTACAGTCATATGACTTAGTTAGATTAGCTTTTAAGCCCGGGCTTTAGTTTAGCTCTTTGCGAGGTATTGCTTCTCCATGAACATACTGAGCATTTTTTCCAAGTGTTATTTGCTGTAAGTTTTTGACCATTGTTTCGTTATTTGACTTTGCCTTTTGCCTTTGCCCTTTTGTACTGTTGCCTGTCTTTGCTGATCTGTGTTTTTGGACCTTTGCCTGTTTTTTGACTTCGTTTTTGCCTTGCTCCTTTTTGACTTTGTCTGCTCGGTGATATGATCACCACTTTGTTTTTGGTTTGTCTTTTGGATTTGACCCACGCCTGCTTTTTGACCACGCATCTGCCTAGCCCTATTAATCTGCGAGCGTCTGGTTTCTGACGAACCGTTACACATCCATATATGAATAATACTACTATATATTGTTAAATATATGTGTTATATGTATATGTCTATTTATGTTGATTAAATGACTAATATATGTCCCTTATTTGAAAATGGTCAGTTTCATTTGAGTTGGCATATGTTACATATATGTCCACAATATATAAGTTAGAAAATCCATATACGCTGCTGTTGGAACAAAACCTCTTATCTCCAAAATGATAACTTTACAGGAAAAGGAAAAAACCTACTTTATTTTCAATGTGCGTCAATGGAACCAAACATTTTTCTGAGTATTTTGGGCCATTTCTGTTGGTCCATTTATCATAAACTTCACCCACAATGTAAAGGACAACAGGCATTTTCAAACTATGTCAAAAACGGAGGATACAAGGTTTTGTTCTGACAACAATGATATGTTAATATATGTCATAGATTTGGATTCCACATATTATCATATATGAGATTTCCATATAGGCACGTTTTAATTTTTTTGGAGAAAAGAAAGGTGGTAGGATCTAAATTTGTATTCATTTTTCATCCTAATTATTCATTCTTTGCTGTGAATGTATTGTGTCACTTAATGTTTGACAGTGGTTTGAATGGCCATAGAAAGAGAAAATATTAATTTACTCTACTGACAAGTGGTGAAAAGTAGGCAAATTGCATGTACTTGAATTTCTCTTTGCAACAGACACAAGAGTTGCTGTTGTTTTTGCAGCGTTTAAAATTACGGTGCTTGTAGAGTTTGTATGATATCTCATTGCACTCTCATTCATGAGAAACCCAAAGTGCCGCATTCACTGATGATCTGCATAGGTCATTATAAAATTGTGTCTTAGCTTCAGGGCTGGAATCAGTTTGGTAATTTGCCAAAGTGGTTTGTCCATACTAATTCCACACAACTGGGCAGCAAAGTGTACCACAATTTGAAGTACAGTGCTTATTTATCCAGAGCACAAGTAGATCTTTGGATGAGTGCTTTTGCTCGAGCACAGTCTCTATGAACATTTTATTTTTAATTTCTAAATAATTCAATATTTAAAATGTAAACAAAGTAATTAATAGTAAAGTAAAGATAGTAAATAAAATGGCTATATTTGTGTTGTCGACATCATAACCCCTGGTTCCTATCACAACCACTGTAAAGAAGTCAGTAAATGTCTGTAAAATGTGTTATTTTCCCATCAGAGCACTCAGAATAACTGTTATTGCGTCTTGTGAGTAATTAAAGTTCTGTACTAAAACTGTTTAGAGGATGTAGTCAAAACACTAAAACTGTATTTTATGTCTTTTAAACAAGCAAAATAAAATGTAATTATCACCCTTAAAATGTGAACTAAAAGGAAATAACTCTTAACAAGTAATTGGAATTAATATGCTTTATCGAATGCATTTTATACTTGCAGACATGTGAAGAATGAACACTGCACAATGCAAAATACAGAAAAATATCATACAAAGTGTATTTTGTCATTGCTGAATTACATCGTTGATATCAAAATAAGCTTATGTCATTTTATTTCTTGGCGTTTATTGAGTAACATTACCCTTATTAAAAAACAAATGATAAATAATAAGCAAAACTGCATGGAATACATTGAAAACAATGCAGAATGAATATTTTAAAGGTCATTGTTAAGTTATAGGAGTGAGGAATGGAAGTCTGGACCCGCCAGCAGATCCATTAACATTATGAGATCAACTCTCCAAAAAATGCAATATACAGTATTGTGCAGAGACCACCCTTGTATTTATGTATTTAATTTCCAGTGAAATCAGCCGAAAGCTTAACAACGAAAATAATCAATCATTTCAATATTTATTCTTTGAGGACACTTGCTTTCATTTTTCCAAAGAAATCTGCTGGGATATTTCTCCACACCTCCCATGTTTAGTCTTGGCAGTTGTTTGATGTGTCTGTCTCATTTCTTCAGTAATAGCTTCTTGACAGCTACACATCCTTTCAGACCCACAGCGCTGAGTTGTCTTCTCGCAGTGGAGGGATG